AAATTCGAGAACAGTAAAATGTATCCGAACTATTGTCCTCATTACAATGTCTCTCTCTCCTCCCTCCCCCCCCCCTCCCCCCCCTCCCTCCCCCCCCCTCTCCCCCCCCTCTCCCCCCCCTCAAACACCCCTCAAACACCCCCCAAAAACAGCTCTCACTTTGAGCTGCTTTTGTTGTGGGTAAAGAACTGAGAAGTGAGTGTTTTATTCCAGTTCTTTTTTAACTTAAGTTTAAAATGTGGATTCTAAAGCTTAACATTCTCCCCCCAACACCCTTTAAACTTGGCTCTACTCCCCCTTCACTGTTTTTCATCAATAATAAATAGAAAAGCTAATAATGCTTCAAAATATTCCCACTATGTTGTTTACAAAGTTTTTTTCACTCGCTCCCCCCACCCCCAAAATACACAGACACATACATACATACATACATACATATACATACATACATACATACATACATACATACATACATACATATTCCGTCTCAGCACACACGTGTGAGTGAGTGTATGTGTGAGTAAGTGTGAGAGGGAGCGAGCGCGCGTGAGAGCGAGCGAGCGCGCGAGAGCGAGCGCGCGTGAGTGCGAGCGTGTGAGTGTGTGTGAGTGAGCGAGCATATGTGTGAGTGTGAATGTATGTGTGTGAGTGAGTGTGAATGAGGGTGTAAGCAAGTCAGTGAATGTGAGTATGTGTGTGAGTGAATGTGTGTGAGTGAGTGAGCAAGTGTGTGTATGTAAGTGAGCAGGTAGGTGTACGTGGGTTGGGAAACGTGCCTGTGATTTAATAAGTAATAATGATAATAATAATCCTTGCATTTGATATAGAGTCTCATCCTGTCATTGAGAAGTTACAAAGGGCTTCACAGAATATACTGTAAAGTGAATTGACTGCATTTTGTGGGCAAAATGTTGGAATGAATACATTTCCTGAATAACAACAAGAAGTTCATATCGCCCTACACATGGGGTCACATCCCGGAGCGCTTGAGGTGAATAAGGCAGCAAAAAGGCCAATATGGACAGGTCTACTAATGAACAGTTTGCTATAACACAAAGCTCTGGCTCTGTAACTCCCCCTCCCCCCCCCCCCCCCCCCCCCCGGCAGCGCAGGGGGTGTTAGCTCGACGTTCGAAAATATGTCTTTGATACAATGCACCTGAAGTGCTGTAAACTGCACAGGCCTCAGGATCACAGCGTGACTGGAGCACATGTGGGGTGGACATCGATAAATCTGGTTCTTAAAGGATTGCAGTATTGAGGTCGTCGAGACATCTCAAAGCGCTTCACAGAATATACTGTAAAGTGAATTGACTGAGTGTTTTGTGCGCAAAACTATGGCACTTTTCATGTGGTGTTGAAGTTATTCCCTGTTGTTACAAAACTATCTCTTTCACCTTATGAAAGCTGTTGATGTTTCACATCTATTCCTGTGACCGAGAACTTGCGTTGCTCAAACTACCTCAGCTGTTGAGGCACTTTGTTTCCTTCCGAGTGATGAGTTTGGGTTCTTTGATGAGCACAAACCCTCCCAAACCCTAGAATGAGAGCCATGACTGGAGACTTGGGTGTTTGTTTGCCCAAACGCATGGCCTAGTTATATGATCATGGGGGTGCATTATTTAATCAGAGTGCTCATATCAGAGCAGAGAAAAGTGTAGCACAGTGAGGAAAGGCATTAGGACACTACGTTGCGTGAGGGGCGCTATATAAATACAAATCATTGTTGAAAGCAGACGCTTCACAATTAGAAAATAATAACAGCAGAAACCAGGCGTGCAGAGCTTAGCAAATAGTAGATCAAATAGCGAGAGAGTAATGCGGTTGTCGCTAATGTGTACCATATAAATGCAAGTAGTTGGTTTCGTAATCAATATTGAAATGTTATTCCTTGTCTGTAAAGTGTTTATTACTGAGGGTAGAATTCGCCCTGATGTGTAGGAAGTTGTAAGGTCCCCAGTTTTACAGATGTTAGTGGTTATATCGAACCATTCTCAGGATATGAACATTTCCTATGGTAATCGGAGATTGATATGCTTTCTGTTGAGGTTCCTTTAAGTATGCGATTGCACCAGAGCTTGACAATTACATATGCAACGGCGTTTTTCGTTAGATGTGAATGGACTGTCCCCTTGAGCCAAAAGCATCACTGCCTCAGCAGGGAGAGAAAGATCAGGGTCTCGCTCACTTTCACATCATTCCCTTGTGAAGTTATTGTAAAGTTACTCAATGTTTTACGACTTCAATATTTGTTCTTGAAGAGCCATTTTATACTGGACAGCGTTTCAATATAATCTCTCTCTCTCTCTCTCTCTCCCTCCCCCCACCAGTCTCCTTTCTTTCTCCCCTCTTCTCTCTCCTCTCCCCTTCCCCCTCTTCTCTATCCTCCTTTCTTCCTACTTTCCTTCTCCCTCCCTCCCCGTCCCATCCATTCTCCCTCCCCGTCCCATCCACTCTCCCTCCCCGTTTCCCCCTCTCTCCCTCCCCATTGCCCCCTCTCTCCCTCCCTATCCCCCCCATTCTCCCTCCCTGTACCCCCATTCTCTCTCCTCCAAATGTCTGTTTATTGCTGGAACATATTTGAGATTCCACTTTAAATTGTTCAGTGGGAAACATGTGAAAAGTAAGCTGAGGTATAAGGTGTTAAACAACAAACACCAGGTTTGGGATTTCCCTTTGATCCACCAGGAGGTCTCATTGAGTGAGAGAAATTAAAGAGAACCTGGAAAACAATTAGAAAGAGACAAATGTTGGGTGTGATTTCACCTCTCCCCCCCCCCCCCGCCCCCCCACCACCCCCTTTGACTTGTGTGCTGGTGGGGGAAGAGGTGATTGAAATGACTCCAATGCACTTGTGGTGTCCCATAGTACAGTGGTTGGTGCGCTCATCTTGGAAGCGAGAGGATCTGGGTTCTATTCCCGGGCGGAGCGAAACCTTAGGCAAGTTTCCTTACTCCCCCTGCCTCTGTATAGTAATAGTAAGTAGGAATCTGGTTGTTAGTCGATAGGCAGATTGCTTCATCCCCCCAACCCCACCCCCAAAAGCCCCCACCAACAACAAAAGAAAATGTGGTCACTCAATCCATTATTGTTTGTGGGACACTGCTGTGAACAATTGGCTGCTGCGTTTCACCCACAAAATGCACAGTTACTCCACTTTACAGTATATTCTTTGAGACGTCTCAACAATGTGATTAGGCGCTATATCAACAACAACAACAACAAGATTCCATTTATAGAGCGCCTTTCACGTCAGGAGGACGTCCCAAGGCGCTGCACAGTTGGGTCATGACCCGAGCATTGGGGAAATGGTCAGGGTGAGGGGAGGGAAGGGAGGGAGAGAGGAGGGGGGAAATGGTCAGGGTGAGGGGGGAAGGGAGGGAGCGAGGAGGAGGAAGAGAGTCGAGAGGGGAGCTGAAGGCACGGTCAAAGAGAAAGGTTTTGAGACCGGCCTTGAAGGAGGAAAGGGAGGAGGCGGCGAAGGCACTGGGGATGGAGTTCCAGAGCCTGGGGCTGAGAGGCTGAAGGCCCGACCACCGATAGTAGGGCGTTTGGGGCGGGGGACGTGGAGCAGACCGGAGCCAGAGGAACGGAGGGTACGGGCGGGTAAGTAGGGGGATAGTAGGTCGTAGAGGTAGGAGGGAGCAAGGCCATGAATGTAAGGATTATTGTTATTTTTTTTATTTTATTTTATTTTATTGTAATCAAATGTAAGGATTATTGTTATTTTTTCTGCTGTTTTCCCCAAAAAACAGCAGTGGCTTTTTATTCCTAGGCAGCTCGACCGAGCAGGTGAATGTTTAAGCAAAAGTTTAGTTTTCCTGTGATGACTCGTAAAAGTTGAGACAGAAGATTGAAACAATTTCTGTGCAGTAATTACTGAGATGATAAGTGATGAGATCGACCTTCACCTGTTTATTTTTGACTGCTGGGTGATGCAACACCAGCAAAAGATATTATATTTTACTTTTTTTTTAAAATCTAAATTTTCTTCCACAGTATAAGAACCAGGGTGACTGAAATCCAATGTAGCATTTGTGGAGTCCTGCAGTGTAGTGGTTAGAGCACACATAAACACGCTGGCCCGCTGTTTTTGACAGTACTTTTTTTTCTCTCTCTCTTGTCTCTTGGGCACAGGAACTGAAGCTGCCCGTCTACAAGGCTCTCTCGCCGCAGATCGCTTTGCGCCGCTATTTTGCCGACCTCCTCGCCATCCTCAGCAACCGTTACCAGCTGTGCCCCACGGCTCGCCACCTGGCGGTTTACCTGCTCGACCTCTTTATGGACCACTATGATGTCGCCGTGAAACAGCTGTACGTCATCGCTCTCTCCTGTCTTCTCCTGGCCAGTGAGTATGGGGCTTGGGGACGTGGGGGGGGAGACGGACACAAACCAGTCCTTACTTCATGACTGTGTCAATAGGAAATTGCGCTGTTTAACGTGTCGGTGTCAGCATTCTGCCGAACATTACTGTAAAGCCACCGAGCGATTTATTGGAATGTTCTTTTTTAAACCGCTTGCAAACAGAAGCCCTTGAGGTAAGGTGGAATCGCGGCTGACAGTTTACTAAGCAGATTCTCTCCCCCAATGTTTAGCCAAGTCCAGTGGTCTGGTGTTTGTGCTGCTGTTGTTGGCAAGTCGGCACTGCCGACCTTTCACCTATGAGCATGGAGGAGAGGGGGAGGGATGTCACCACCTCCAGTATAGAAATAAGACTTGTAAGCAAAACAGAAGCCCACGGTATTAAAGGGACAGTGGCAGTATGGATACAGAACTGACTGGGAGACAGAAAGCAGAGAGTGGTGGTGAATAGTTGATTTTCTGACTGAAGGGAAGTGAGCAGTGGTGTCCTCACGGGTCAGTATTGGGACCACTGCTGTTTTTGATCTATATGAATGACTTGGCCCGGGTACAGGGAATATAATTTCCAAGTTTGCAGAACTGAGCTAGGAACAGTGAGGAGGATAGTAGCAGACGGTAAGGGGACATAGACAGACTGGTAACATGGGCAGACACGGGGCAGATGAAGTTTAATGTGGAGAAATGCGAAGTGATGCATTTTGGGAGGAGGAATGAGGAGAGGCCATATACGCCGATGGTACAATCTTAAAGGGGTGAAGGAACAGAGAGACCTGGGGGTTCATATAAGTAAATCTTTGAAGGCGCAGGACAGGTAGATAAAGCTGTTAAAAAAGCGTACGGGATACGAGGCTTTATAAATAGGGGCATAGAATACAGAAGTCAGGAAGTTATGATGAACCTTTATAAAACACTGGTTAGACCTCAGCGAGAGACTGTGTTCAGTTCTGGGCACCGCACTTTAGGAAGGATGTCAAGGCATTGGAGAGGGTGCAACAGAGATTTACCAGGAGGGTACCAGGAATGAGGGACTTCAGTTATCAGGAGAGGCCAGAGAATTGTTCTCCTTGGAGCAGAGAAGGTTAAGAGGAGACTTATTAGAAGTTTTCAAAATTATGAGGGGATTCGATAGGGTGAACAAGGGAAACTATTTCCAATGGCGGATAACAGATTTAAAATAGTTGTTAAAAGAAACAGAGGGGAGGTGAGGAGAAATGTTTTCACACAGTGAGTTGTTCTGATCTGGAATACATTACCTGATAGAGTGGTGGAAGCCGATTCAATAACAACTTTTAAGAGAGAAGTAGATCATTATTTGGGGAGGACAAGTTTGCAGGGCTCTGGGAGAGCGCGGGGGAGTGGGATTGAATTGGATAGCTCTTTTCAAAGAGCCGGCACAGACACGACGGGCCGAATGTCCTCCTTCTTTACTGTATAATTCTATGATTCTAAGATGACGAGTGGTGCGTGATGGCAATCGTTGGGATGTTTTATAAACATCAATTGTTCTTGCCCATCATCCAGGTGGCTGGGCAACGGGGGAGCTGAGGGCTGGAATGTGTAAATGTTGTCTCTCTTTGCTAACCTGACAAGCTCAGTCAGGGTAGCAGTTGTGATGATTCAAAAAAGATTCCAACACACATACTCTCTCTCTCACATGTACACATTCTCACACACACACTTCAGCTGTGCATTATAGTCCAGGCTGACACTCCAGTGCAGTACTGGGGAGCGCTGTATTAACAGAGGTGCCGCCCTTACGGTGAGACAATAAACCAAGATTCCTTTTGTCTGTTCGGGTGAACATTAAAGATCCGATGGTATTATTTGTACAGGCAAATGCAGCAGCCAATTTTGCACACAGCAATTTCCAACCAACTGCTGTGAAGTGAGCGACAAATGTTTATTTGGGAGATTGTTGGCCAGGACACCAGAGACAGAAACAGAAACTCTATTCGTTTTTCGAACAGCGCAACGGGATCTTTAACATCCACTTGAACAAACAGAGGTGACTGCGGTTCATAAGGTCTTGTGCCATTTTTCGCTATGTAAATTGATGTGGTCATTGTTTTACCAGGGCTGTACAATGAAGCAAAGTGTACGTGCAAGGCTGCTTTGTTGCACACAAAGCGGTTTGGAGGAAGTCTCATTTTTCTCTCTCTCTGGCAAGGTCAGAAATTTAAAGGGATATTGTGTTTAGGAAAAAATGTTTGACGATCAGGGGACGCTTTGTCCCATCAGTCACAATTGGATTAGGGTTAGTGTTATTGCATATAAAACGTTTTTTGGGTACTTGCCTTCTTCAAGGCCCATCTCAAGACCCTCTTCTTTGACCGGGCAATTTTCTCAGTTACTGTGCCTTCGGCCACATTCCCCACTCTCCACCCCTCTTAATAATAATAATAATAATAATAATGCTTGCAATTGATATCAACCTTATCATGTCTTCGAGAGGTCTCAAAGCGCTTGACAGGATATACCGTAAAGTGAACTGACTATATTTTGTAGGTGAATTTTGTGGATGAATTGCTTTTGGTCTTCCTCCCACCTCTCTGCCTTCCCTCATCCCTACACCACCTCTCCCCCATGCTCGGGCCTCGACACCTGACTGTTCAGCGCTTTGGGACGTCCTCCCGACATAAAAGACGCTCTATAAATGTAATTTTGTTGTTGTTGTTGAATCGCAGCAGCCAATTGAGAACAGCAGTGTCCCACACAGTCATGGATTGATTGACCTTTTTTTCCTGAGAGATTATTAACCCCAGAAAAGTGATCCGCCAATTGACTAACAACCGGGTTCCTACTTACTGCTAGGTAAACAGAGGTGTGAAGTAAGGAAACTTGCCCAACATTTTGCCCTGCTAGGAATTGAACCCAGGGCCTCTCGCTTGCGAGGCAAGTGCTGTAATCACTGTGCTACAGGACTCTTGATTCTAACCCGGCACTTGGGTAAAAACCCTTAACTGTCCAGAGCCTTGAAACAAGTGTCATTTTTTGTGTTTGTTGTTGTTGAATTGCCAGTGGAGCCAAGCTGGGGGACTGCTGATAGGGATCAGGCAATGGCTCATTCTGGCCCAAGTGCAGAAAAAAAAGTCAGGTTTGCAGTTTGATCGCGTTTATGGAGTTAAAAAATTGGTTGTATGATGTGATAATTATCACCAGTGATAATTATCACTGGTGAAAATTGCAATCAAACCAGTCAGTTATTGTTGACAGGCTGTGAGAGTGAAAGGTACCCTCTCTGTCTTTCTTTTTCCCAAGTTAACACATGCAGTACTCCTCTCAACTGCTGATAATAATAATAATCCTTGCATTTGATATAGTGCCTTTTCACATCATTCAGACATCTCAAAGTGCTTCACAGAATTTACTGTAAAGTGAATTGACTGTATATTTTATGGCTTAAGATGGTCATTGGCAGGCAATTAAGTCGTACAAACTACGAAGTGGTCTGAGGACACTTTTTCTCAGCCCCGTTCCTAGCCACCTCAATAAAGTAAATGTCCAGGACAACCTGGTTTATCCGTCGAGCTCTCGCTTCTGAGTTAGAAGGTTATGGGGTTAAAGCCCCACATTGGGATTTTCAGCTCACAGCATTCCAGATGAGACTTTAAACTGCGGTTCCGCTTGTTTAGGTGCACTTAAAGATCCCACGGCACGATTTGAAAAGAGAAAGGAGTTTCTCTTTCCTGGCGTCCAAATTCCCTATCCACCCTCCCAAGCTTTCGCCAATAAAATAGTCACTACATTTCACAGTATATCCTTTGAGACATTCTCTCATTAATACAAGTATTATGTTATGTTTTCTCATTTAATTTGTCCCCCCCCCCACACATTTTCCACCCCACTCCCACCCAACGAACCTCTGGTAAATCGATGGAGAATCCCTGTGAACGCTGGGATTGAATAGCTTGGAAAGAGCATTGCTATTAATTGTATCCTCGGGCTGTAAACAAGCCTTTCAGGGCACCTGCCATATGCTGCTGCCATTGAGTGGAGACAAAGGTTGCCGTAGGAGGCTCTCTGAACCCATTCAGTCAGCTCCCGGCCTCGGACGTAGTTCAATGAAAGAGTTAAAGGATGGCAGCAGTGTGTATGTCTGGGAATGTGCTGCAAGCACCCAGGAACCCAATAGCTGATTTTAAAATATCCTACATTAAAATAAAGTGGCAGAAATTTCCTACGTGATCCAAAAAAAATGCTGTTAGCCAGCCTTGTGTCCAAGAGCATCTACAAATTTTTGTTTTTATAATAATAATCCTTGCATTTGATAGCGCTTTATCATGTAGTTGAGAGGTCTCAAAGCACATCAGAGCATATACTGTAAAGTGAATTGACTATTTTTGTGGGCGAAACGTGGCAGCCAATTGCGCCCAGCAGTGTCCCACAAACAGTCATGGAATGAGTAACCAGTCAAATTATTATTATTGTTTTTTTGATGAAGGGATTATTACCATTAGAATATGATCCACCAATCGAATAACAACCGGGTTCCTACTTACTACTAGGCAAACAAAGGCAATGGAGTAAGGAAACTTGCTTAAGGTTTCGCCGCACTGGAATCAAACCCGGGTCCTCCCGTTGCGAGGCAAGTGTACTAACCATTATGTTACGCAATTTAACAATCTAGACTAATCCCTCATCTCTGAGCCGTCTCGTACTGTACGAGACAGATGGTTTGCTGTCACTGCACAATCACAATACCCATCCTCGCAGCTTGTTTGCAAGTCCTTTTCCTTATCCCTTGCACTTGTTTTGTGAGTGTGTTCTCCTGAAATAGATTTTTTCCCCCAAAAAAATGATGAAATCAGTGAATTGTGCTACGGGTTATTTCACTCTTGCTCTAACAAGCAGAGCTTCATTCACTTCCCCTTTGGATATCTGTTCTCTAACACTGAGTATAAGAATCAACTCAGGAACAATCATGGCATTGGATGAATATGAAAGGCAACAAGATTAGACTTGGCTTCTTTACACTGTAATGAGCTT